TGTTTGGAAGTCTGGAAGCAATCAGCTTCCTCAACCACAAAAAGGTCTGAATTTCTCTATTTTCTCAGTTTTCTTGCACATCGGTCAGTTCTCTTCCAAGCTTACCTTTTCTCCTCTCCCCTAAAATGAAGCCAGTGGTACTAAATACACACTTCTAACATTCTGTTTTTCAATCTGTTTCCCTAGAGCAACAAACTCATTAGGCATATGTTCTCTCCTCCAAGTTATAGCAGATGGCAGTCTTACCATCACATAATATGGATTATGGATCTCCACTGTTCTTTGGTATTAGTTTCTTCATTACCTGGTACCCAACTTCTAGGCCAATACTCCTTCTTATTTATTTATTTTTTTAATGATGGCAACATTGTAGTTCAGATTACCAATTATCTGTAAGTCACATGTAAACATTAGTGTTTACAACAGCAGTAAAATATCTAAGATACCAAAAGATAATAAAAGATAAAATTAGAAGAAATTATGAAAGTTTTTGAAATACTCAAAAAGAAACTAAATGGATAGATGTAACATGTTTATTGATGAGAAGATTCCATATTGTGAAAACAATGGCTTTTCCCAAATCTCTGTGTCCAGTACAATCCCAATCAAAATCCCAACAGTGTTTTTTGGTATGTTTACTTTGTTCTTTTTTTTTTTTAATTTTTTTTTTTACAGAACTTGATAAATTGATTACAAAATTTATATGCAAGAGCCTATTAAACTAAGCAAGAGCTGAGAGTAACTCAGTTTTTAAAAATATTATTTTTAGCAGATATCAAGACATAATATAAAATGATGATAAATATTAAGAGACTTAGGGAAAGACACCCCAGCTTAGAAGCTTGATAGCTGACAGATATAGTATTATAAATTAATGGGGAGATAATAGATTACTTAATGAATAATGCTTCCCATATAGAAAAAAATTAAATCCCTACCTCATACCATATGCAAAGATCAATTCCAGGTGGATTAAAGATCAAATGTGAAAAACAAGTTTTTAAGACTCATAAAAGAAAATATGGGAGATTATCGAGTTTGGGTAAGATTTCTTTAGAACATCAACTGAACAGAAAGACACTAATAAACTTGACTCCACCAAAATTTAAAACATTTATACTATAAAAGTTACTATAAACCAAGCAAAAAGATGTCACGGGAAACCAAGCAAAAAGATACCACAGGCAGGGAGAAGATAGTAGCAATAAATATGACTCGCAAGGATTTTGTATCTAGAAAATGTGAAGTGCACTCCCAGGTGTATGCTACAGAAATTATTGAATATTGGTATAATACTAAATAGAGAAAAATGCTCACTGAAATCTTTTTGATTTTCGGCTATTATAAACAATTGTCCATTTAATAGAATGGATAACTGAATTGTGGCTTATTAGTATACTGGAACATTATACATAGAAGATAAAAAAAAATGAAGTATAGCCATATGTACCTAGAGATAATATAAAAAATTTAATGCTGAATTAAAGTTTCATAAAGGCATACATTATAATGTTAAATATTTTTAATGAGCAAAATACTGTTAAATATATCTTGTATGTCTGTATTTATGTCTACTTATATATTAAAAGTCTAAAAACATACATGGAATTGATGAACTCCAGATCTAAGATAGTAGATACCTTTGGTGAGAGAAGGAGAAGGAGACAGGATCAAGGATGGATACCGACAGACCTTCCATTGTATTGTTTTATTTCTTAAAAATCAAACAGCAAAAAGCATCAGTAGCATGTATGGCAAAAGCATCAGTAGCATGTAGGTATGCGAAGTATCCCAAGTCAGTATGTGGGATACTATTTTATATTCTCTTATATATGTTTAAAACCTTTTATAAATATAAATTAACAGAGAATCTTTGTTCCTCTGACCCCCGCCCAGAGGCTCAGTCTTGTAAGTACAATTGATAGAATGCCATGCTGCAAATGTACAGGTATTTTGTGTGGGGCATACAGCTAATCACTGGGTACCATGTTGTCTCTTTGGAAAAATGCCTTTTGAGTTCCAAATGACATATGTTTGTGTCATAATAAATTACTGATTATGTACTATAGTTAATATTTTAGAACAAGTGACATCTTTTAGTTAAGAAAGAGGCAAGTGACTAGTAAAGCAGTTGACAAGACTATCGAGGGATTATGACCCATTTAGCCTTTTGATAATGGTTCTGAGTTGCTGAAGAAACTGTAAAGCTTTCTGAATCATCATCAGATGATAAAATATTGCTCAGTTTTATTTTGTAGTTACTGTTATCAATTTCCAGAGATTAAGACAGAGTTCATTTAAATTGGATATTTACTTAGCTGGATTCTTTCTCCATCCATTCTGACTGGTGATCATCAGAGTAAGTAACCAAAGGCCAAAAGATCACAGTCATACTCCCCAGCTATTCCACATGAACAGAATTTTCTGGGCATGGCCTCTGCTCTAGACATTAAGAAGTAATTAAGAAGTAAGCACATTGTTACTGTTGATAAAGCTTCCCTTTTGAACTGAAGCAATCAGCAACATTTCCCTTCCTTTGGTCCCTATCCTCAGACTGGATTGTTTATAAAATTATTATTTTCCCTCTGTGTCATACACATACAGTCCAACTTCAGTGATGGCGGTGCGGTAGTAAGTGGCCTTTCTCGTAATTAGAAAATGATCTTGTGACAGGATGAAGCTCGAAATTGCTCTCTTTGTGAAATGAGCATATCTTTGTTTGCAAGATTAACTCAATTCCCACTGCTATAACTGGCAGCAGAATTGCCTGAGCAGTTTGGTGACTGGATTGGACTTTTCCTATAGGAATTATGTAGTCATACAGCTGCAGAAACACACATTCACTCCCCCATTGTCGGTTTTCTGACAGCCTTTTCCATTGAACAGTTTGAAGAGTGGCGAGCCCTGTTTCTGAGACAGAGAAGTGTTTTCACACCTGAAGTGTAATTTCACACCTTGTGTTTCTCAGCAGATAAGCGCATAAAATAACACATCAAACCGGAATAGAAAAAGATCAACATAGAAAGAAAACTGCACGTTGTAATTTGTTTCCTATCTTACAATGCTCTCGGAGAGAACGGTAAATGACAGAGATCTGGGTTTACGCTTTAAAAAGTTTGACTGGTTGTTAGGTGGGAAAATGAGCAGTAAACACTAATCATCTTGTTGCCTGCATTGAACAGAATGTACAGGATGATAGAATTTGGGAAACGCCTTAACATTTTGATTTTTTTAAAGAATAGTATGCACTTAGTAGTAAAAATTGTAGTGAAAAGTCAATAAATTGATAAATTAAGTTATTTTAATAAAGATATAATTGAGGAGATAATTTTCTTGGTAATGACCTATTCAGTTATTTTAGCAAAAGTAGATCATGTTGTAAAATTTGGATGTTTTCTTTCCTTTTTATAAATGACTAAACATATAATGTTAGTTAAAGCATTTTAGTGTGGGGGCTATAAAATGAGGGGTTTAGTTTCATATTACAAGTTTGAAAACTTGAGACCAAAAGAAAAAGGAAAGTCGAGCTTCCTGGCTAGTCATGAACATTCATTACAAAATACTTACTGAAGGTCTACTCCACCTTAAACACAAAGCCAGGCACCAGAATACAATGGTAAAAATGTCAGCCCCTCTCTCTACCTCTCTTGGGGAACTGGCAATATTTGCAGACAAATAAACAGGCAGATAATCCTGGGTAGCAAGTGCTGAGATAGGCTAAAACTAGGTTTTGGTGGTGGTCACTGGAGGGTTCCCTGACCCAGAGCTGGTGGAAGTGGGGAAAAGAGGACAGCAAAAATTCCTGGGTAAAGTGATGTCCAAACTGAACTTAATGAATAGAAGTCATATGAGGGTGGCTATCAGATGGGATATTAGGGCATGGAGAGCGTGTATAGAAGTGAAAGGGAAAGAGAGCAGGGGGGTGGGCAGAAAGGAATGGAAATGCAGTGTGTAATGGCAGCCAAGGTGAGCAATGAGGCTGGACACTAAACAGAGCCAAAGTACAGAGACTGCACCAAGAAATCGAGCTTTTATCCAGAGACTAGTAGGAAGTACTGAAGGCTGGGTTTTTGTTTATTAGTGAGAGTACATACTAGATCTGCACTTTGCAAAGATTGCTCTGGCCACCCATCGACTAGATCAGTGAGGAAACGTGAGGTGATACACGTGAGAGATGCTGGTGACCTGAGCTTACGAAATACACTGAGAGCTCAGTGGCATTGGGGATGGAAAGAAGTGAGTGGATTTGGGAACTGTTTGGGAGGCAGAATCAACAGAACTTGGTGACTGATTGAGTGGACTGGAGGAGAGGAAGCCAGTCTTGTCAACAATGAAGTTCTGATTTCTGACTTGGATAATTGAGTGAATAATGCTACTATTCACAGAGGCGGGGAACACTGGAGCAGCAGAGTTTTAGAGATGGGGACATGTTGAGTGTGAGATGTGTGTGGGATTTCCAAAAGAAGAAGCGTGGTATTCAATTGGGAGAAATGTCTAGGCCAGACCTACGGACTTCATAGTTGTCATTGAAACCGTGGAGGGGTTGAGATGGTCCAGAGAATATGTAGAGAGTGAGAAGGGAAGAGATTTTCTAACTCAGGCAAAAATAGTAATATGACTATGAAAAAAAACGCATGACAGCAAAATGTGTATATTTATCTCGTTATGTAAATAAAATTTGAATGAAGAACTGAGCGTGTCCACAAACAATTGCACACATGCCTGTGCATATATGTGTAACTTGTGCATGGAGAGGTTCCAGTGAGCATCAGCAATGTGCCGGATAGTGAGCTACATGAAACATTGGGCATTGCAGGTAATGACCCCTCTTCTGAATAATTCATGTAAGATGTGTTGGCTCAGTAGCAAGCACCAGGCCTAAAGATACTATTTAGTATGTTGAAAGGAGAAATTTACAGCTCGTATAAATGTTGTAACTAAACTAGCAAAACAGAGTGCACTGATGTTTTCTCATCCTCTCCACCCCCTTTTTGTCTTAGATACATATGGAAAACTCTTTCTCCTCAATTCTGTGGGTCAAGAGATGTCCCGCTGCAAGACATCCATTCGACGTGGTCAGCCCAATCCTGTCTATAAGGAGACTTTTGTTTTCCAGGTGGCGCTCTTTCAGCTCTCTGACGTCACACTGATGATTTCCGTTTATAACAGGCGTACTATGAAGCGCAAAGAGATGATTGGCTGGATTGCTCTGGGCCAAAACAGCAGTGGAGAGGAGGAACAAGATCACTGGGAGGAAATGAAGGAAACCAAAGGCCAGCAGATCTGCAGATGGCACACTTTGCTAGAATCCTAGGTTTGCCAACTGGTGTTTGTGTGTTGTGTCCACCTCGGTCACTTGTGTTGCTGACTGTTGACACTAAATCAGTGAGTGCATCCTAGCAAGGTTTTCGGGTTTTCCAACAGAGATTCCTCTAACCCCTAGGACATTCTGAATGGGAGCTTTGGGTTTCTTAAAGATTTGATTTGGATTTAAATATTGTAATTTAAAAAACCCCACATGTAAAGCCAAGTGTACTGTATGGAAAATGTTACCACAGTTATACCACTGATGATGAGTCAATTTGTGCTAATAGATTATTGAGTTGTGGTTCAGACTATGGGATGAAGCTTCTCCTGCTTTCTCTGTTTGCTTAAAGAGTAACCTGAGATTACAGGGGGGCTGTAACATTCAACCACTTAGGTGTATGAATCAGAATTTTCTTAACATGGTGCAACAAACTCCCAAATACAGAAATGAATCAGAGGCTGAGGCTCATAGAAGAATGTAACTATAACCCCTAAGCCCTCATTTCACGGTTTTCTCTCGGTCAAAAAAACCCTATTTACCTAACAAGTAAATATTGTAAACTTGCACTGATAAAATAAATTTGTATTAATCAAATACCTCTTTTATCTCACATATATTATGGTTTCTATGAGATTTGATTAGATGAATCATTTTGAAGCTAGAAAGGAATTCAAAAACTACTGTTGTAAGACAACTTGTCTACTTTTGATTATGTAAGATTTCAAACTTGTAACTTTTGAGGTTTTTATGCTTTCTCACCTAATTCGTACAGAATGAGATAAAAACCAAAAACCTGATTTCAGTCATAGACTTATTGAGTTTTCTGAAGCTGATGTTCTTTTGGATTATACTTTTTCTATATTCAATTATATATACTCATACATGTATTTTGAATGTACTCGCATGTAAACCATGGTCTTTTTCTTAATACAGTGTTTTCTATCATTAGAGCATAGTAAATTGCATACAATGGGTCTTTAATAAATATTGATTTTATTGATTCTTTAAAATTGTCATAATACCTGTGAATGAAGAGATATTTTCAGTTTGTACGGAATGACACTAAATTTTTCTTTGAGCATTTGAAGTGCCTATATAGAACTGTCATTTTTATGGCATTTGCAGCAAGATACATTAGTCATTATTTGCATTCTGGGCATGTGCCATTCAGAACACTGCTCTTGTGTGGTTATAAGCATGGGATTTTACTTATGACTTTCTTTACACATTTATGCAGTGCATGTTTGTTTTTGTTTTTCTTAGGTCTAAGCCCCTAATTTCAATTACTTTCAATTGGCAGTAATTAAAAAAAAAGGGGGGAAGGAGTATGTGTACATTTAACCCTGTGCCCAATGTGCAGCTCCTCTGAGCAATTGCTCAGTCACTTATTTTTAGCTTCTGTGCTTCATTGTTGACTTTTTCCTGTCTGTGAGAAGAGTGATAGCTAGTGATGGCTGTATACAGTTAAAAACACAAAACTCCTCCTCAGCTCTACATTTTGACAGATTGTAAGCGTGGGCTGTAACACTTGAAGAACATATTTATTCTTTACCATGTGTAATGGTTATCCTGACAAGACCAGACTGGGGCACAGGATAACTTTACTATGATTTCAGGGTTCAGTCTTTCAAAGAAATGACTTTATATGGAAGAATCATAATTTGCAAAATAAACGAGTATCTTCATTTCTTTTCAGGTCATGAGAGTTTCATATATGCTGCTCAGTTATTAGGAATAAGTATCGAAACCCTGCTCCTTTGGGTTTTTACCCCACCTTTCTTCGGAAGACCTCAAAGTGCTTTTCCAGCATTATCTCCATTAGCTGCTGAGTGGTCTTTGCAGTGTGGCTAAGTCATTGAGTAGAACTGAGTGCGATTGATTAAGTAGTGGCACAAAGAATTGGCTTTTCACATCCCCTACTCTCTTTATGCCTTGTGTTTAAAGGGAAGTGGAGCAGCCTCGTTATGCTTCCCTTTATGCAGTAACATAATAGCAGCATTCACTTTCAAATTTACATTTGAAAAAAATCTGTATATATTGTACAGACAGCCCTGTATTTTTCCCCCTCATATTTTCCTGCTCTGCATGTTGCTGCTTCCTTTGATTCATGGTGCCCAATAATCACCTATACTTTATTTTTTGCTCCCTTGACCCAGCCATTTTTAAGGTTTTTTGCTGCTGTGGTGAAGATATCCTTGTGCACTTGATCTGCTTCCCAATGGTCTACTTGTGACACAGTTTACAGGAATGTGCAGCATTTAAAGGGAAGGGATACCTGAAAAAACATTAAAATAATTTTACTATGTTGGTGCCGCTCCCTGTATAGGCTGCATGTACATCTTGAATATACAGCAACATTCACCCTCAGCTGATTGTATAAACATAAAATGCTGAAGACAAGATACATTAAAATATGGGGCTGATTTTTTTTTTTACCCTGATTTGAAATTCTAGTTTAGTAAGATCTTTTGATTTTGTGCACTTAAACTCCCTTATTTTCTTGGCAAAGTCTAGACACAAATGCATTTAGCATGTTTTTCACTTGAGCTTTTACATCTACATTTGCTTTTCAAAAGAGTTATGAAAGATAATTAGTTGGTTCTGCAGTGAAAAAACTGCTTTTGCCTATTTCATCTAGCTAATGATTAATACCTCGCGTGGGGATTTGACATTGAAGCAGCACCAATTTTTGTTGCATGAGTAGTTCTTTCAGTGATTTTTTTTTTTCCTGAAGAGCATGATTTTTAAACAATACTGTTGAAAGCAAATGATGCACTAGGTTTATGGAAATCTGCTTTATGGTGTGCCTTCTTTCAGGGCATAAGTTTACACTGAATCGAAAAGTGCTGGTTTCACCAGTCGCGGTGGTAGCTGTTGTACTCCCTGCTCCCTTCTGACTATTGTTGAATTTTTAAATGGACCATTCACCAGGCAGCTGAACACCTGCTCTCAGCCCCTCTCCTTCACTGGCTCCCAGTGTGATGCACAGTTGTTTTGGATTCTGTTTTTGCTGATGCTGCATAACTGTTGGGTGGTGGGGTGGGGGTGGGGGTCTTGCCTCCCCTAACATAAGAATTTGTAATGCCTTTGGATGTATTATACTTGGCATTTCACCTGCGCAAATTGTGAGAAAGAATCATCACTGTGTTTGCAAGGGGTAAAGAGAGTATGACGTTGCATCCTTGTTCACTTTTGGCATATTAACTCCGACATCCTTCAGTGATAGTTAACTGATTTCAGATATTGATATTCTCCATCGTGCTAGGTGCTAGTGAGCCTGAAACACAGCTTCTGCCTTTTCAATGTGTAGATCTTGTAATATTTTACAAATTATAGTTATCCCTTGGTCACTGTATTACATCATGACTGTACTAGATGATCTTATCTGGGAACCAAAACTCTTTTCTTTCCAAGTAAAGTATTTAAGTAGAAACGACCTTCAGGTTAAGTAAGAGTGCTTGCCCGATAGACACTAAATTGATTTAATTGATGATTCAGTGTGGACATCAAACTGTGGGTTTCCAAAAAACCTGGCTGACCTTTTGTAGCAGAGGACTGTGTATTAAGAACATAAAAGTGAGTAGGAAGAGATTATTTGTAAATGACATAAAACCAAATGGAGGCATATTCTTACTGATAGACAGGACTAGAAAACACATGTGATACCTTCTCTTTTGAGGAAACTGTGGTTAAAGAATATTCCATTCTATTTAAGACAAAAGCAAATTATAATTCTGAAATGGCAAAAATATTTTATATTTTTTTTGTCTTAAAGATAATCATTTAGGCAAAACTATTTAAAAACATACAAAACCCACCCAAAAAGTGATACAGCATGTATATACATTTAGCATCCACCAGTGTATAGTATTAAAGAAGAGTAAACAAACCAAAAGACATTTCAGATTAAGTAGCTTTCATTTTTTCCAAAACTTGTAGAATTTTGGAAAATAGTTAAAGGGAAAATGAAACTGGCCTAACACAACAAAGTTGGCACAGACTGTGGTCTTATTTTGAGTTTGGATAGAACTCTGCTAACTGTGTGGCCTTAAGAAAATTACTTAGCCAGCCTGTGTCCCAGTTTTTCAACTGGAAAATGGAAATAATATCTACCTCATAAAGTTTTTAAAAAAGATATCAATGAAATCACAGATGTCATGTGCCTAGCATAGAACCTGGCATATAGTTAGCATCCAATATTTCCTTTTCATGATCGTGCTTGAAAAAGAAAACATTTAAGATTTGTTTCTTTTCCTAGCAAAGGTAATTATAACACTAGAGAAAAATTAAAAACAATTTTAAGATACTTTAAAAAGGATAGTCTCAGGATGCCAGCCTGGATTTGTTAAAAAAAAAAAAAAATAAGTCCCATCAGGACAAACTAATCAGAGATAAACTGGGTATGTGGAGGAAATTGAGTCTTAATAGATAACCAGCTAAAGTACAGCCAGTCTTTGTTTTTTATCCCCTGAGTTTGGAGGGGGTACAAAACCTTGGTCCTTGTATGTCCATCACACACAAGGCCTCTCCTCACCCCAACTCTACTGTTTATACATGGACAGGGCCTCTTGCTGTCCCCTGGACAATTTGATTATATATTTCAACTTTGATCTGAAAAAGTAAGATAAATGGTATGGTACTATGCTGGCATGCTTTTCAAAATGGACAACATATTTTTTTTAACCTACACCAGATACCCATTTTATATCCTTATAGTAAAAAATTTTAAATGGTCCAATAACATAGCCATCAAAACTTTAACTCTTTGACTGGAAAGTTCTATTCACAACCATTTATCACTATTGCCCTTATGAGATCATAATGAATGGCATTATCTCAGTTGACACTAACTCCTTTTTAAGATGGTTTTTCAGAGTGACTTGTTGATATGATAGAAAGCATGTTCACTTGTTCTCAAGTGATTCAGGCCTTGAGTAAAGAAGGGAGTTTCCTGAGAATTTAGAAAAACCGTTGCCAATGATGTTTGATCTAGAGAAGTAGTTGGGAACAAACCACCTCAAGTTTATTGTAACCAGATGCCATGAACCAGTCACGTGCTCCTTGTGGTTTTAAACTTAGCATGATTCTGGGCTTGGGGAACTGTGAGACTGTACTCCCAGTTTCACCACATTGCCAAAGGGCTGTCTCAAGTTCTAGGTTTCTCCATTTAGAAGAAGAATCAATTAGCTTTGGGCTTTTAGTTGGGAACCATTCAACATGTAGGGAAGTTAAAGGAGTTGGATGGGAGGTGAAAAGGTGGCGCGATGATTTGTATTATAGTAACAATTATCCGGAATGTAGGGTCCTAACCGAGAGGATGGTGTGCACTTTGTATTCTTGACCATAAGGGTGGATTGAGAGGATCCACCTAAATCAAGTTGGGAGAATTTAAGTTAGATATAAGGAAAACTATATGAAGATTGTTTCTCATTAATTCAAAATGTATTCATTGGATTTCCTTTTGTCTAGCACTGTTCTGTTTGGGATAGCAAAGAATTTAAAATCTTTTTGGGGTGATAGGGCCACACATTGAAGCGCAGTCATCATAAAAACAAGCATGCTTACCAACATGTGGTTATTAAATTGGTCTCATTACATGCCATAAAAAGTATAGTCCTTTTTTACGGGTTCTTGGAAGAAGGTGAGACATATTGGCTGAACTTACTGGGCAAAGCTTCTAGGAAGCCTCAGATTTGCAGTGAGCCTTGGTTACATTAGAGGGGGACTTGCCAAGGGAGGTCACAGAATCATCATCTTTGGAAGTCTTTTAAAACAGAAAAATCTGCTTGAAATGCTGGCTCTGTCTAAAGAATGGACAGTTACCCAGGAATGTAGCCTTTATAAGTTCCTTCTAAGTCTAATATTTTGTGTGTAACCTTAAAACAGAAACAACAATAACAACACTCCAGGCTTGTCCTCTTCCCTTTGGAAATATTTTTTTTCACATTGATTTTTCTATGCATCAGAGAAGATTTTCTCTGAGGAGTTCCTATTTGGGTTTTGTTTAGGTGACTTTGGCGATGCCTACAGGCTCAGAGTGAGTTTCCTCTCCTGTGGTGGTGCCGTGGCTGTTCTTGTTTCCCTTGGGTCACAAAGCAGCATCCTATAGACACACAGACAATCGTTACCTGTATTAATAGCCACAGTGGAATCTGTGACATGGCTTGAGGCTTTCTAGACCAAACTCACAGGCAGTCGTGGAGGTCTGTGGCCATTCTTAGAATAAAACCACTGGATGTTGCTAACTGCTTTCTACTGCTCACTAATGCTGCCTTGAGGTCCCTGTGGGAATTTTTGCTTCATGCCTTTAGTGACAGAGTTACCAGTTCTCCTTTGAGGATGCCGAGAAGGCTGACTTCCCATTGGTATTGCCATTTTTATGTATTATATTTGTTTACTTCATTTTCCTCTTAAAGCATCTACTTGCTGGTTCTTATTATTTTATTTTTTTATTTTAGTTTATATAAAATTTATTCACTCAAAAAGGCCTTTATTAAGTATAATGTGTCCCAGACTCTGGACTAGGGGCTGGAGAATAGCAGATGAGAAAAAGAGTTTAAGTTCAGCCATTGTTTTTGTTTCTAAATATTCTTTTTTAAAAATAAAACTAGATTCTGATCAGAACTCTGGATAACAATCAGATCTTTTATTATCCTTTAATTTTTGGCTTAGTGTATTTCTGTCATAGTCTCTTTACCCCTCTGAAAAGCAGAGGATTTAGGGAAGGTGGAAGTTATTACTTGGTCTCTAGTTAAGAAATAAATACACTTGTTTGTCAGTCTGTGACTTCCAGTCGAAGGGAAGTCCGTGCTTCTCTTCGAAAGAAATGGATATATTTTATACCTGAGGGAAGACTTTTATAATTGAATATTGAATGCCCTTTGCAAGGCAGTAAGTTAGACCCTGGAATGCTATGTCTGTGCAAACAAGCGCGGCACAGTTTTTATAAGCTCTGTGCTTTAATAGTCAAAGGTGTTGCTACCCTTTAGTTTTTGGAAGAATGAACTGGAAACAGTAGCTGCCAAATTAAGGGTGGCAGCGTAAACCAAGAGACCTCCTTACCTCTCTGATTTTGATTAACACTTGTCTTAGTTATTGAAAACTAAACCCATTTAGGGCATCCTTATGAAATGGGTAAAGGTTGATACTCAGAATGTCCCTACGGTGGCAGATGGACTGAAAATTGTTTTCTAGTCTCAAAGCATTTTTGAATTATTCTGAGTCTAACTCTTGATGCTTTCAATTTCATAGCAGGAGACAAACATAGGAGCTTGTAATTCTTAGCATCATCAAAGCTCATCTCAAATGTCTACTAAACATGTCTCAGGCCCCGCAAGTTAAGTCTAAGTCTTTGTTGGCCTAAAAATTCTTACTGAAGACAGTTTTTTAGTGTTGCCCAGTTAATAGTTCATAATTAAAAACATGCACGTTTTTTATTTGATAAAAACCTTAATGTTTGAGAAAATATATCAGAAGTCTGCCAGTAAAACTTCTGATTGAGGAACAATATTCACTGAAAGATATTTTCCTGTAAGTTATTTTGTATAATATAGTCACATTCTAGGGCCACATTTATTTCTTAAGATTGCTTCTTTGTCAAGTTCCTTGAGCAAAGTTTACTATTTTTGCCATATTTCCCTGTAGACCATGATAATCTTTATTAATTCATAGCTCTACCAGATGATAATGCAATCTTTTATTATGCCACCATACTTAATGCAGCCACAAATTAGATTTTATTATTATGAAATACAAAGTCCTTTTCAGAATTTGAAAAATTAATTTTATTGTAGATTTTGTTCTTTTAAGTTTGTGAATAAGAAATTAGTGTTTGTATACTTTATTGTGACAGAGATTTCTGTTATAATAGTTGTTAGAATAAGAATCGACCTATATTTTCAGGAAAAAGCATAATGGTGTTTGTGATCTATTTTGTTTTTTTTTAAAGAAATTAATAAACTTTATTTTTTTAGAGCAGTTTTAGGTTCACAGCAAAACTGAGCAGAAAATACAGACAGTTCCCATATACCTCGTCCCCACTCACACACAACCTTTTCTCCCTATAAACATCCCACTCCATGGTGGTACATTTGTTAGAATCAACAAGCCGACATTGACACATCATCATTGTCTAACATGCATTGTTGACATTTAGGGTTCACTCTTGATGTTGTGCATTCTATGGGTTTTGACCAGTGTATCATACAGAAGATTTTCACTGCCCTAAAAATCCTCTGTGATCTGTCTATTCACTCCTTCCTTCTCCCTAATCCCTGGCAACCACTGTTCTTTTTACTGTACCCATCGTTTTGCCTTTTTCAGAATGTCATACAGTTGGAATCATACAGTATGTATCCTTTTCAGGTTGGCTTTTTTCACTTGGTAATATGTGTTTAAGTGTCCCCCCTGTCTTTTCATGGCTTGATAGCTCATTTCTTTTAAGTGCTGAATAATATTCCATTGTCTGGAAATATCACAGTTTATGACCTATTCACGTTTATTTCCAGGTGCAATTGCTATGGCAAATTTTGTTAATGTGCATGCTCTCAGGAAAAATAAGTGGCTAATTTCATATGCTCCATCAAATAAAATGTAGCAACTTCCAGTCTGGAATCAATTTCATATATATGATATTGGGCTTGTTTTACATTATGAAAAATATCTCATATTTTCATAATTTATGTTAACCTATCTAAGGATTTCCACCCCCCTTCACTGGAATCTAAATAGAGACGGTTCTGAAGGCTATGCGGATATCCCAAGTTTAGTGACTCTGTAGTGGTTTCTTTTGTTGAACAATGATTTAAATATACATTGATAAAAGTGCTAATTATGTTATTACTGATTCATGATAGAAAACCACTTTCTGTTACTTGTTTATATGACTTTATATTTACCACTGCTGCCAAGAGATAGGAAGCTTTATGACTGTTCCCTGTTATAGTTAATTGTACAAATTAATTAAACGTGGTATGTAAGCATCTGGATCACACAGCAGTTCTGAATTCTGAATGGAAGGATGACCCATGATAATGCAAAGGTTCAATGAACAAGTAGATAGATGTTGGAAAGATAACACTGATAATCACACTGGGTGTGGGGAGGCCTGACTGCTAATCAATATCTGATGAACATTCTGAGATTATTTATATGTGTACTGACTGTCCTTTCAGCTTTGTGTAGCAACTTGTGGAATCTGGCATTATTGCAGAGATGAAGGTGTAGTTGTGCAAAGAACATTGAATTAAAATTAATGCACCAGGGTCATATATATGACAATGTAATAGATGTGAAAACACTTCACATAATTTTTGAAGACTTGCAGTGCTTTTGAAGACTACATCATATTTTATTTTTATATTAAGGTCCG